CTGTAGCATCTTTTCCCTGGCAATTTGAATTTATTGTAAAGTAGTGAAACAACTCTTCATAAAAGTCATTGTGAATAGTGACAAAGAAATCTGCTTGCTTTAGCCTCATGATACATTTAAATGTAAAAATAATAAAACTAAGTTGTTGCTGTAGAAGTTGGTCCAACCCTGACTTCACCAATTCAAAGTTAACTATGTGCAATTCTGCTGTGACGGAAGACAAATTAAACATATTTGGGTGTCCGAAATTATTTTTTTGTCCGAAATTATTTTAATCGTAGTTTTAAAAATAGATTCTGGCCGGACGTGGGGTGCACACCTGAAATCCCAGTCCTTGGGAGGGTGAGGCAGGAGGATGGCCGAGAGTTCGAGGCCAGCCTGGGCTACACAGCAAGTTCAAGAACAGCCTGAAGTACACAGCGAGACCTGTCTCAAACAAAACAAAACAACGAAACAACAACAAAACAAAAATAAAAACAGATTTCGTTGATGAAATTTAAGTCAACACTTTGCGTAGATCAAGAGGCAGTTCAGTTCTAGAAACCTGTTTGAAACTCACTGCATTTCCAGCCTCGCTCTTCAAAGGTCTTTTTTCCCAATCAGAAACTTCAAAGTTTCTCTGTACCTCCGGCGCCCCCAGCCTTTTTCTAGCACAGACGACTCCAGCAGCCTGCGGATCCAGCCGTTTTGGGCGACAACAGATCCTGCCCCAAAAAGAGAGCCCGGCCCCGCCCTCACGGGGTTGATTGGCAGGCAGCTCTCCAGTGTGCCCAATAGCCCAGTCGGTCCTTCATAGTGTCCGCCTCCGCCCCATCGCCTCGTAGGCGGCCGGGGTTTGTTTTGGCGTCAAGCGCGCGCTATGATGACGTCACGGCGCTGACCCAGGAGGATGATGGCGACTGCGATGGCGGCGGCGGCGGCAGCAGCAGTGGCCGCGGCCGGGATACGGTTCGCAGAGCCGCCGAGACGCCGAAGAGCCCGCCGCCCGCGCGAGGTGAGGCAATGTGTCTCAGGGCGGCGGCTGGTGGCCGGCGGGCGGGAGGGGCTAACGAGCTGCAGTCGCGATCGTTTCCTGGAGCACAGGGGCCTGCTTTTACGCAACCAGGAGCCCTCCGCCCTTAAGCACAGAGGGCTGGAGAACCCGAGAGCAGGTCGGGCGATGGCTCCTCGGGGTCCCCGGTGTCCAAGACTGGCTTGGCTCTGAAAAGGGCTGCCATGCTGGGAAGCCCTACTCTAGTGGGCCTGGTGAAAGTGGTCAGCTGTCCTGCCTGCAGTTTAGCCGTCCCGCGACCAGCGCGGGTCAGGTTGACCTAACCTGGTGACGAATCTTTGCCTGTTTGCGTCCAGCGCCTGCTGCACACCCTTCCTTTGCAGCTGAACACCAGAGTCTGATGGGGCGACTGATTGCTTCCTTACACTGGCTGGAATAAAGCAGGCCTGGGTCCAGCGTAGTTGCCTTCCTGCAAATCTGTCATCCTTGCAAGGGGAAGCCTAGCTCAGTCATTGTTCTTCAGTGAAGCTACCGACGTTTTAATTCCCACTTGAAAATCGAAATAACCCCTTCATTACCTCTGTTTAAAGCTTAACCCTACAGTCAACACTTGGGGACCTTCCCCCTCAATACTGGAGATTGAACCAGGACCTGCACACTGAGCTACACCCCCAGCCCTTTATTTTAAAAAATTATTTATTTACTTACGTATTTATTTATTTATTTTGGTACCGGGGATCGAACTTGGGTCCTTTCGCTTGCGACACAGGCTGTGGAACCACTGAGCTAAATCCCTGGCCCCTCGGCCCTTTATTTTTAAATTTTGAGACAGGGTCTCGCTAAGTCTCCCAGGTTAGGCTAAAACTTTCGATCCTCCTACCTCAGCCTCTGAGAGTCCTAGGATTGCAGGCATGTGTCACCTCACTTTTGTACTCCCATTAGATAGTTTGTGGTTGAGGAGTGTGAGTCTCCTGTTAGTTCTGTGGTTTTATTCCCTTGTGCTTTAGATATGTTTGTAATACTCTTATACTCTGTCCCTATGGGAAACGTACATGTGCCCTTTAAAGTCCACCTGAAATATTATTTCCTTGGAAAAACCTCCTTTGATTAACATGTGAACATTGACTCCCCTGTGCACCATGCTACTACTTCTGAGTATATCATGTCACATGATGCTTTTACTTTTACATCTATCTGGCTCTGTACTTGGAATAAAGTGGGGGCTCTAGGCTGTCGTGGCTTTCCTTATCATAGCCTGCCTGCTTTCTCCAGGGTGTTCTTTTGTTTTTGTTTTTGTGGTACTGGGGATCGAACTTGGGACCTTGCCCTTGCTTGCAAAGCAGGCAGTGGCACCACTGAGCTAAATCCCCAGCCCTCCAGGGTGTTCTTTTATCTTACTTTTTCCCCTTTTACTCAGTCCAAGCTTATTCTGTAGAGCCAGTTTAACCCCTACTCTTCATTTTTACTTTCTAGAAAAAACTTCCTTACTGTTTAAAAAAAATGTAGGGACTCCAGTAGCTGTAGCATTTGCCGAATCTATTGGAATGGGTTACCTATGTATGAATGGATGCACATTCAGCTATAATAATGAGCACTTATCAGGGCCAAGAACTGGGATAACCACAGCAAACACCTGTGTGTAGGTGCTGCAGCCTCTACCCTGATGGTCTAAAATCTATTGAAGTAGTTTTTCAAGGTATAGACTTGAAGAGTTTCTTTGTAAGATTTTTTTCTTTTTCTTTTTTCTTTTGGTTATATAGATAAATAGGTTTCATTTTGGCATATTTGTACATGCACATGACATACTTTGATCATTCTCACCCATCTTCTGTCCTATTTTTTCTTTTCTTTCTCCCCCCCCCCCTTCTCCTCCCCTCCCTCTTCTGTTTTTTTTGTGCTGGAGTTTGAACCCAGGGCCCTGTGCTCTGCCCTTGCTTTCTAAGATTTTGATTCAGAAGATCTGGGATAGATGTCTACATTCTTTTTTTTTTGAGATACGGTCTTGCTATTAGTTCAGGCTGGCCTTAGCACACGCTAGCCTCAAATTCATGGCAGTCCCAGCCTCCCAACTGCTGCCACTACACCTAGGATGAAATTTACATTTTGAAAGAAAACCCAAACCAAGTGACTACATTGGGTTTCTTGGTTGAAGATCTGCATCATTGCAGCAGGAAACTCTTGTCTCTTTCGTCCAGTGGGAAAGGGTAGCTGTGCCTTTTGGACTCCAGTTGTGGTCTCATTCTCTATACCTTGGAACAGAGTATAGTTTGTTGGTTAGAAGTGTGAGCTTTAGAATCAGAAAGGCCTAGACTTAGTTTCTGGCTTTTCTGAGATTTTTTTTTTAATAGCAAACATTTATTAGTACATTAAATTAATTAATATATATTTTGGGTGCATTTTAGACATACATAATGATAACACTCATCTAGCTTTTCTGAGATCTTGAGGCTCTTTGAGTCCTAATTCTTTTTTTTTTTTTAAGACAGGGGTCTTGCTGTGTCCCTCAGGCTGACCTTGAATTTAAGGTGTAGCTCAGGCTGGCTTCAAATTCATGACCATCTCCTGCCTCAGGCTCTGAATGCTGGGATTACAGGCATGCACCACCATGCTTGGCTAATTTCCTTCTAAAATAGAAATAATCATGCCTCCTTCGTGGGGATAGAGTACATATGAGACTCTGTAAATGGAAGTATTGGCCATTCTTCCCAGAGTGTCCCTTGTTAAAAGAAAATCTTGAGGGCTGGGGATTTAGCCAGTAGTTCCGCCGCCTGCCTCACAAGTACAAGGTCCTGAGTTTGATCCCTGGTACTAAAAAAAGAAAAAAAGAAAATCTCTTATTTTTGTGGTGCTGGGGATTTAACCCAGGTCCCTGCACATGCTAGGCAGATGTGTGCTGCCACTGAGCTACATTCTTAGTCACAGAAAAATCTCATCTTTTGTGTGTGGGGGGTGGGGCAGGTACTAGAGATAGAACCCACCTACCTCTCCAGTTCTTTTTTTCTCTTTTCTTTTGAGATTATCTCAATAAGTTGCCCAGCCTGGGTTTGAGTTTGTGATCCTCCTGCCTCAGCATCTCAAGAGTGCTCAGATTAAAGGCAGGTGCCACCATGGTTGGCTTGTTTTTTTATTCTTTTTTGTTTTTGTTTTTGTTTCGGTACCGGGGATCGAACTCAGGTCCTTGCGCTTGCGCAGCAGGCAGCCGAAACCACTGAGCTAAATTCCCGGCCCTTTTTTTTGTTTTGTTTTGTTTTTTTGTACCGGGGATAGAACTTGGGTCTTTGCGCTTGCGCAGCAGTCAGTGAAACCTCTGAGCTAAATCCCTGGCCCTGTTTTTTATTTTTTGGCACAGGGTCTTGCTATATAGCCTGGGCTGGCCTGTTTTGAACTCTTGGTCCTGCTGCTTTAGGCTCTCAAGTGTTGGGATTACAGGCATGTGTCACAGGATGCCTGGCAAAATCTCATCTTAATAAGTGTTTTGCTTTTCAGACTGAACTTTAAGTAGGAAGCTGCCTTGTGTTATGTGACTTCTTCAGGGTCATTTCTGGTTATCAGAGGAAGGTCTAACAACACTGCTTGCTTGTCATCAAGATAAACGCAGTTGGCCATTCTCCTAGAAGAGAATTGGAATGCTAACTCACTAGAAGGTGGGATTGCTGAATAAGCATCTTGTCTGGGTCTAATTGCAATTCTGTACTTAAGTTATATAAATGAGCTAGAGAAAGTGCAGCCTTCAGGAAAATTATTAGAATGACCTTATAGGTTCTGGTGTCTGTAGAATCTGAATATAGAAATAGATGCTGGGATTCTTTTTCAGTCACAAGTTCTTAGTGAAGTGAGTGGGACTTTAGTTTGGCCTTCCATTTTTGTTTTAAGTGTGAACATATTATATGGGCAACTGTGATCCTCTTCACAGATTCCCATCTATATGGTGATGTGAATATTACTCTATAGGTATGCTAAAATATTGTCCCATTAAACTTCAGGATAGCTGAGAACAGCTGTTTCCATTGATGAAGGATCTTATAGAGTAGTGTATCGTTCTCTGTATATATCTTGGCACATGGAGAAAATTTGAGAAGTACAGCTTTGGGAGAAGGTAAGCAGTTCTGCTTATTGACAGCTGGAGAGAGACAATTTATTTGAACTCGAGGTGTTGACTAGGTCATCAGGAATTCTTGGTATAGCACTCAGTTGTCATGTTTGATGTGAGACTAAGGTAAACAATTGGATTTTCATTTTCTGGGAGAAAATTTATCTCCCAGATGGGTGTGGAACCATTTGGGGTGTTTCTTTAGAACAGAGACTAGGGCTGATTTCTTTTTGTCTGTCACAGTCCATGGCAGAGTTCCTGGCCCATAGCAGGAGCTTAGTAGGTCTTTGTCAGCTGAATTTTGGAAGTCTGAAAGAATTCTAGGTATATTAACAGGGTCTGTATTTCTGTTGGTGGGATGTCTTAAATGGAGTTGTGGGTCATGGTAAAATTAGAAGCCCATAGCAAACTTGTGAATGTTTCTCCCTGTTTCAGCCCTAAGACGGGGGTCTCTGCTTACCAGCTAGTACCATGTAGAGCAGTATGTTCAACTGGAGTCCTTGAGAAGTAAGGATCCAAATTCCAAGTTACTGTTTTGTTTTCTTTTGCTCATTTTTTTTTTCCTCTCCGTCAGTACTGGGGATTGAACCTAGGACCTTTGCATTGACATATATCCACAGCTCTGTTTTTAGTTTTATTTTGAGACATCTTGGTCAGTCAGGTTGCCTGGGCTGAACTTTTGAACTTTTGAACTTGCAATATTCCTGCATGCCTCAGTCTCCCAAGTGTTGGGATTATAGGTG